CCCCCCCCCCCCCCCCCGGCCCCCGCAACATTGCGCACTGGTCTTGAAGGTTTGTGTGATACCTGCTTTTTGGGATGAGGCTTGGCCCTGAACTCTTGCTGAACTCCCTAATCCCCGGCCTCGCGGCCCATCCCCGCGTGGTCCCCCGGAGGGGTATCTGTACTGGCCACTCTTCTGTGGCAAAGGTGAGCTCCGCTACGAACATCTCAGGACTTGATTGAATTGGTGTTCACACCCTTACGGCCGACGTAGGGCCCTTGCATTATTGCCCCCAGACATAGGCAAAGATGGCATCATCGCTCGTTGCCTCTATCCTAGACTGGTGCAGGCATGAGCCTGCATGTTTCACGAGTGGTCCCCCAAGGCTAAGGTCAAGAGTCCCTGAATTACTGTAAGCCAAAAGAACCCGTGTCTATCAAAGCAGGTTGCATGCAAGCGTCTACACCTGTGGCTGCACGGACTTAAGTCCTCATCTTCAGGCCGATCCTTCAGTTCATCTCCTTCTTGCTGGCCCCCCATGTCGACCATTGCCGCTGCTGCCATTTGCTATTCTTGGCATTGATGTTCTTCGATGGCGGCGAGTCGGCGAGCAGGTCTTCGTCAGTGGGCTCTGGTGGTCACACGGGCCCATCATCTGGGAAGCCCCCCGACGTGGGGATGCTCCGGCACTGATAGAGTGCCGAAGTTGACACTGAGAGAGTGTCCAAAACGGCACTGGGAGAGTGCCGAAGACAGGCACTTGGAGAGTGCCTAAAAGTCGAAGAAGGCCAGGAAGCGTCTGTCTCTCGCTTTCTCTTGGGGGAAAGAGGAGCCGGGGAGTGTTCAGCCCCGACCCCCCGCGCACGAGCGTGCACCCGCGTGTCACGGGCGTCTTTGTCCCTCTCTGTCTCTGTCTTTGTCTCTGTCTCCGTCTCCGTCTCTGTCTGCCTGTGTGTCTGCCTGCCTGCGTGCCTGTTTGTCTGTCTGTCTCTCCGTCTCTCTGTCTCTCTGTCTCCCTGTCTCCCTGTCTGTCTGCCGATGTGCCTGCCTAACTGTCTCTTTCTCTGCATCTGCCGGCTGCCTGCCTGGTACGCATGCTGCATGTCAAGTACGTTGCATATATACATATAGACATGCATACGTACATACAGACAAGCAGACACAGATACACATACACCCACATACATATTCTACAAACATGCTAGATATACATACTTTTATGTACTTATATGCATGCTTATACATACTTATACATGTGTTTACATGCTTTCCACATTGTCCAGACCTTTCTACACACCGACCGACTTACCTATCTGCCGACCTACAGACCCGACCTACCTACATGCCTACCTACAGTGTGCATGCACACACCTACGTGTACCATGTACGAGTACATGTACGAGAATGTGCATGTGCATCAGTATGCGTATGTGTATGTATAGTGACGATGTAACTGTATCTGTGTCTGTAGATGCAGATGCAGATGTAAAGGCTGATGCAAGTGCACATGCAGATGTAGATGCATAGGTGCATATATGTACGTACGGACGTACGTACGTACGTACGTATGCATGTGCGCATGTACGTATGCATGTATGTATGTACGTACCTACGTATACATATACTCATACTCCTGCATCTCTATATATAAGCACAGATGCACAGTATATGCATACATATACGTATACAAGCTTGTATGACTATGCTATGTATTTACATATACAGGTAACGTCAAAACACACATAAAACATACACATAATATATGTACATTTACAAGTACAGTATGTATGTTGACATATGGTTGCACATGCAGATGCCATCATACCCGTTATCCGTCAGACCCCCTGATGCAACAAAAAACTATAGCCAACCCTATCCGATCCTGCACATAGGTGCTTTTGTTATTGTTGATGTTGTTGTTGGTGGTGGTGGTGGTAGTGGTGTTGTTGTTGGTGGTGGTGCTGTTGTTGTTGTAGTTGTTGTTGCTGCTTTGGTTTGGGTGTTTGCTTCTTTTGTGTTATTTTTATTTGTGTTGTTTGGTTTTGTTGTTGCTTTTTTGCTTTGTCATATGGTTGGACGGAAGTCTGCCGTCGTGGTTTGCATTGCAGCGACAGAAGCATGCAAGAAGAATTTCACAACAAGTAGGGATGTGCTTCCCCTCGCCACTACATATATAACTAAGGAGGACATGTAAGTCAAGGGGGGGTTACCTAGATGTAGATATACATATATATATATATAATACTTGTGAGAGAGAGAGAGAGAGAGAGTATATATTTTTTCTGGGCTGCATAGTGTCCCCCCCCCACCCCTACCGGCATTCTTGACAGTCTGCAACAAACTGGAACCAACAACTGTCTTGAAATCCAGGATGGTCTATAAACGCAGGCAAAAATTCAGAAACAGGGCATGGACCAAGGCATGTAAACCCATGCGAATGCACACATGTTAGTCTGCAACAAAACAAACCCACATCAGTGCTCAGCATCTAAGTCTCTAGGTGATTATGCACGTGTCTCACAAGCCTCGTTCCGACCCGCAGCAGCCCACTACAAAGCTTGTGTTTTCGTCGCGTTCCTCACCATCCCTGCACACCTAGTCCGGAGACTAGCACTGTTTATTTGCTATCATGTATCTGGAGCCCTATTAGAAGGCATGACGCGGCCTAGTGCTTGGCATATAAGATCCGTACACAGAATGCGGCCCCAGAATTCACTCTTCTATGTGCACAAAAATCGTGTGGCTTTCCAAACCAAGCTTGCTAGAAAGCTCATCCTTGCAACCTGGCTGATGCCAAAAAACACGCCATGTACCATGACCCGTGCAAGCCGATATTGCTTGGAACGCGCCGTGCCCCTCCCCGAAGAAGTTTCATAGTTCATCCCCACGTAACTGGAAATAAACGTGTGTATACATATACCTATACCTATGTATACATATATGACCATACGTGCGTATGCAAGAATGTAAAGAATACACAGGGCCGATCATCCCACATGCATGTTGGAAGGCTCTTTTAAGCACAAGGCAGTCAGATGCCTCGGCCTGGCTTGCCAAGTTCATCTGAAATTGTGCCGGTGCCTCATGAGTCGGGCTCCAATTACCCTGACCCAGCGGTGGTTTCATAAACTCAGCCGCAGAGCTATCCCTCTTCGAGGTCTGGCTGGCCGTGTGCAGGTCGAAGCGGTGAAACAAGCCACTTCACCCCTGATGGGCAGATGCGTGGTCCGTGGCCCAGGTTTGCAGCGACTCAACCAGGACAGAAACAAGAGGCACACCCGAAGCCCACATGTGGCCCAGGCTCAAAAGGTCAACTGGGCGTGCTGTTTGAGCAGCTGCTTGGGCAGTAGCTCGGCAAACCGTTTGGCAAAGGTGACGCCCGTCCATCCCGGCAGCCACACTGGACTGGGCACATGGAGGCCAAAGGGCGGAACAGCTGCGGGTGGCCGTCACACCAGGAAACCCCTGTCAAGAGCTCGGACGGAACTGTCTCCATGAACTGGCACCCACTAGACAAAAAGCCCTGGGCTGTATCGTTTGCCAGGGCGAAAAGCGTGGTCAAAGCGATGCCCTCTCCGTAGTATCCGATGAGCACGTCTTCATACTGATGCCAGAAAGCTTGCCAACCAGCATCGTCGATGACATCATCGCAGGAGATGGTTTGAAGCTTGAGTTCTGCTTCGGCCAGGCAGCGCTTGCTGCATCCCTGTGCCTCCACCTTGTGCCTCGGAGTTGCTCTGAGAGGTCATATGACTACGCAGTGCACATGCTTAGCCCTTTCGGCAGACAGTTTCCGGCTCGAGCTATATCAGGTGCAGGCTTTCCGACAATGCGTTAAGAGTGGCCAAGTTACCACGCGGAACTTCGCAGGTCCGTGCAGCCGCAGGTCTCACCACATGCCACGCGGAGAAGTCGGGCATCTGACATGCTGCACAGGTCGGCTAGCTCTGCACAAGTCGTTGCGTTCGATCGCCCAAGTGATGCAGCTGCATTCCGGACAATGCTCCCCATCACCGGCTGCAGGGCCGGATCCTGGTGGAGCGGGCCGGTCTCCTTCAAGACTGCTGTCTCGACGCAGAAGGGGAATAGCGTGCCAAGATTAGAGGTCGAGCGATCAATGTCAGCATTGAAGGCTCGCCTGTTCACTGAGAACATGATTGTCCAAGGCCAGTCCTGCGATTGACTCGAAGGTGTGCTTTTGTGAGACATAACAGCTTGCTCGATGGGCGACAGCTCATACGCGTCTCGCACCTTCTCAATGGCCTCGTGATGGGAACTTCAAAGGACTGAGAGAAGAAACATAGGTCAGGGGGGCAACAATAAAGCCGGTCTATCTCCAATCTGCTTTAAGCTAACCAAAGAAACTAGCTAGCGGCTAGATCCGGTCCTCTGTTTCCAAGCCCCATGAGATCTGCGTCTCCGTGCTGTACGCGACCACGAAGTCTCTCTGGCCATCGCACAGCTCGCGTTTGACTGTCATCATGGTTTCACAGAGAGGCACGAGCAAGAACAGATACGAAGCCAGGACCGTTGCTAACACCGCGAGGAAATGCACCATGGACTCCACCTGGCTGCGCCGGTGCGAGTACTTGACGCTGATGGGCTCGACACTTCGTATCGCGTGCTGGAGTTTGATAGGCGTCATGCCCTCGAAGAGGAACTCATCCACATCCAAGATGGCGTTCAAAGCAACCGAGTTAAGCATCAGCTCCTCAATGGATGTTGTCCTTGCCAGCCATAGGATTCCGGCAACCAGCAGCACGGAAGCGATGCCTGCTCGGATGATGTACGTGATCAGCAGCGCCAGGGCACGACCCCAGGACAGGCAGTGAATCGTGTTGTCGCGGAAGTCCGTCGCGCTGGCCTCCAACGAGCTAGCACGCGTGTCGACTATTGTGAGGATCGCTCTCTGGAAACACAGCAAACCCGGCAACGGCGACACTACTGCATCGACGAACTTTCAAGCAACCAAAAGAGGCTATGAGTTGGCCTTTGGGAGCGTTGCGGCCGCCTCCAGTGCATGCCAAATCTTCCTCAACTCCTGCCGCAGCTGAAGCGAGAGCCCCACTATGTGGGACCACTCAGGTTGCGTGTAGCCCTGCGCAGTACCAATCAACCTGTAGTTGTAAGGTGCTTTTTACATGTTTTGCGCGATTTGGTACGAAACTTGCTACGTGGGACGTGGGACGCGTCCTTGTAGACACACAGGCTCCACAGCAAGATGCACAACATGCACAGGAGAGTGCCGGGTTGCCAGAAGTTGAATGCAAATTCCGTTTCCTGCAAGCCCAAGAAATCGTTGATTTGCTCAACAAGCGTCGCCTGGACCGTGGACAGGATTAAGGACCCATCGCCAGCACACACTCGAGAAACTAGGCTCGTTCCGGCCAAGTCCAGGTAACGAGAGTCATGGGCTATACTGGTCCGCCACGTCTTGGCACTCTGCAAGTTCGTCTCGAACGGCTCGCCCATAAAGTATTCCGACAACAGAATCTGCGAAAACGACCCCTGCATCAGCAAGTTTAGCAGCACCAGCAGCACTGCAAAGACGTTGTCAAACCAACCCACATCTGCAAGACCTAGGACCAAAGGGATGTTCCACGCACTCTCCTCAAAGCGCACGGGCGTTGATCTACCTTCCATCTCGTTTGCAGAGCAGCTGTCCGGCGATGCATCTTGCGAGGTTGGATTCTGTGTCTCTGAAACGCCGAGCTGTCGTTCGACGGTCCCCAACCGAGCCGTGAGGCTTTGAATCTCGGCTTCGAACTGCTGGCGAAGTTGCCGCAGCCCATCTTCCACCTCTTGAATGTGGCCTCGGGGCACCTCAATGGCAATGCTCCGGAACTCGGATGCCTCCAGATTCGACTCTACTTCCGGATCAGCAAATAGCTGCCTGTTGCTCCCTGGGCTTGGGATTGCCGGGGTCGGCATTGTGGGCACGCGCCGGAGCCTGTGGGCGCCAGAGCCCGTCAACAGTTTCTCGACAGGCAGGGCGCTGCATCCAACATGGCGCTCGTGCGCTGCGATAATGGAAGCTATACAGACAGCGAATCACCAAGTGCTGCAACTGCACGTGAAATCATCGAAAACACCGCTGAAACCGTCAAGAACTTCCTGCTATGTGTCGACTAACATGTCGTGATCTGTGCGTCTTGCCGTCAGCTTCTCCCGGTCCGACACACTGTTGGTGAGATTAAGGGCTTAAGGGGCGTATGTACTGTTGCTGTTGCTGCTGTAGCTGGCAGCTAGCACTCTCCGCGATTCTTATGCGGCGTCTTCTCTCATGAACAGTATCCTAATATCTTGTCGCAAAGCTTCAGCCAAGTCCAGCGGCAGAGCTCAGCCAAAAAGAGGCCAGCTGCTAGCTCAAAACAATCCTCTTCAGCCAGTCCTCTCCAACTTCTCCTGTCCTACTCCTTCAGCCCACGTTCGAGTCCAGACTACACTCAGCACCAGAGCTGAGCAACTAAGCAGCTAGGGGTAGCTAGAGGCCTGGACAGTAAGTCGCTTTATGTAGGACTCATGGTGATCCGCAGTGTACTTTCCAGGCAAGGTGTTTGATTTAGACTCCTGCTTGCCCGGCGTAATCCGGCACCACCCCGCTTGCAGTCCTCATACAGATTGACAGAGGCGGGAACACATAGAACCATTGAGCCATTAGGGACAATGAGTCGGGCGGGCCCTCGTCCCTATTTTGACTGACGGGGTAAGTTTATTTGCAACACGGCACGCTCTGAATGCTTTACAATCCGATTTGGGGCTGATTCTCTCTCGTCAATCGAGAACCCGTGCTTGCAAGCTTGGTGAAGCTATCCCCCAACAATATCACAATATCACTACGGAGAAGCCCCGGAACCCCTTCAAGCAGCCTGACATTGCAGAGAGGTCGTCAAGCATTTTCTTCGCGGAGGTCTGGAGGCTGCACGTTCTGAATGCGACTTGAGCGGTGACACACAGGTGACACATGGTGACACAGCCCTGGTCGACAGGCACAGGGTCGACTTCTCAGGCTCAAGGACATCAAACGACGTCAAGAAGACGTGCTGTTTGAGCAGCTGCTTGGGCAGTAGCTCGGCAAACCGTTCGGCAAAGGTGACGCCCGTCCATCCCGGCAGCCACACTGGACTGGGCACATGGAGGCCAATGGGCGGAACAGCTGCGGTTGGCCATCGCACCAGGAAACGCCCGTTAAGAGCTCAGTCGGAAGTGTCTGCATGACAGTGCACCCCTGAGACAAGAAGGTCTGGGCAGTGTAGTTTATTTGTCCGAAAAACTGGGTCCGAGTGACACTTTCGCCATAGAAGCCGATAATTGCGTCTTGATACTCATGCCAGAAGGAGTGCCAACCAGCATCGTGGATGACATCATCGCAGGAGATGTTTTGAAGCTTGAGTTCTGCTTCGGCCAAGCACGTCTCGGTACATCCTTGAGGCTGCACCCTGTGCCTTAATTGCTTATAGCTCTTAATACGAAGCAAGTGCATGTCTCGGTTCACTCGGCTCAGGCAAAACTTGATTGTTTTCAGGCATGACAAAGATTTACCCAAGGAGCCATGCCGAGCTTACAGGGTCGGTGCAGCCGCAGGTTTGGCCGCAGGTCACGCGCAGGAGTCGGGCATCTGGCAAACCACAGAGATCAGCTAGCTCCGCGCAGGTCGTGGCGGTCGGTCGTCCGAGAGCTGAAGCAGCATTCCGCAGGAAGTTTTCGGCGATGGGCTGCAAAGCAGGATCTTGATGCAGCGATCCAGTTTCCAACAAAACTACTGTCTCCATGCAGAACGGGAACTGATTTCCAAGGTTTTCAATCGAGAGAGCAACGTCTGCAGTGAAAGTTCGTCGATTTCCGAAATAAATTGTCCGAGCCCAGTCTTCCTCAAAACTCGAAGGCGTGCCCTTGTAAGACATTACGGCTCGTTCGATAGGCGACAGCTCATAAGAAGCTCGCACTGTAGCAATGTCCTTTTCGATCCAATCCGCACAGGCTAGAGGGGCAAGGAGGATGCAGAATCCGAAGCCGAAGCGAAACCAACAGAACCCAAGGCAAGTGGAAGTCTACCTGTACACCCTCTAAGACTCTAAGACAAATCGAAATGACAGGACAGGACATGAAAACACAAGGCAAGGTCCTCTGTGCGAAGGCCCCATGAAACTTGTGTCTCCGTGTTGTACGCGACCACGAAGTCTCTCTGGCCATCGCACAGCTCGCGTTTGACTGTCATCATGGTTTCACAGAGAGGCACGAGCAAGAACAGATACGAAGCCAGGACCGTTGCTAACACCGCGAGGAAATGCACCATGGACTCCACCTGGCTGCGCCGGTGCGAGTACTTGACGCTGATGGGCTCGACACTTCGTATCGCGTGCTGGAGTTTGATAGGCGTCATGCCCTCGAAGAGGAACTCATCCACATCCAAGATGGCGTTCAAAGCAACCGAGTTAAGCATCAGCTCCTCAATGGACGTTGTCCTTGCCAGCCATAGGATTCCGGCAACCAGCAGCACGGAAGCGATGCTTGCTCGGATGATGTACGTGATCAGCAGCGCCAGGGCACGACCCCAGGACAGGCAGTGAATCGTGTTGTCGCGGAAGTCCGTCGCGCTGGCCTCCAACGAGCTAGCACGCGTGTCGACTATTGCCAGGATCGCTCTCTGGAAACACAGCAAATCCAGCAACGGCGACACTACTGCATCGACGAACTTTCAAGCAACCAAACGAGGCTATGAGTTGGCCTTTGGGAGCGTTGCGGCCGCCTCCAGTGCATGCCAAATCTTCCTCAACTCCTGCCACAGGTGAAGCGAGAGCACCACTATGTTGGACCACTCAGGTCGCGTGTAGTTGTAATTTGCTTTTTACGTGATTTGACACGAAACCCGCTACGTGGGACGTGGGACGCAAAACCTGGTGTCCTTGTAGACGCACAGGCTCCACAGCAAGATGCACAACATGCACAGGAGAGTGCCCGGCTGCCAGAAGTTGAATGCAAATTCCGTTTCCTGCAAGCCCAAGAAATCGTTGATTTGTTCAACAAGCGTGGCCTGCACCGTGGAGAGGATTAAAGACCCATCGCCAGCGCACACGCGAGAAACAAGGCTCGTTCCGGCCAAGTCCAGGTAACGAGAGTCATGGGCTATGCTTGTCCGCCACGTCTTGGCACTCTGCAAGTTCGTCTCGAACGGCTCACCCATGAAGTATTCCGACAACAGAATCTGCGAAAAAGACCCTTGCATTAGCAGGTTTAGAAGCACCAGCAGCACTGCAAAGACGTTGTCAAACCAACCCACATCTGCAAGACCGAGGACCAAAGGGATGTTCCACGCACTCTCCTCAAAGCGCACGGGCGTTGATCTACCTTCCATCTCGTCTGCAGAGCAGCTGTCGGGCGATGCATCTTGCGAGGTTGGATTCTGTGTCTCTGAAACGCCGAGCTGTCTTTCGACGGTCCCCAACCGAGCCGTGAGGCTTTGAATCTCGGCTTCGAACTGCTGGCGAAGTTGCCGCAGCCCATCTTCCACCTCGTGAATGTGGCCTCCGGGCACCTCAATGGCAATGCTCCGGAACTCGGATGATTCCGAGTTACACTCCGCGTCGGGGGTCCAAGAGTCTGGGACCGGCGGGATCGGCATTGTAGCAAGTGTTTAAGAATGAATCTATATATATATACATATATATATACATATATATATAACATCAAATGTATAATACATAACATGCACTGTCAAGGGCTTCAGCTTCTGGAAGCGATACCATGGATCTCGAAGCGCTTCCAGTGCGAGTGAATTCTTTTAAGAATCCTGGCAGAACCTTGCTATTGCACTGTTCCCGGCATCGGAAACTATTACGAGTACCTGCTTGTTGTTGGTCGTTGATGCTTTTGCTAGCTCTTGAGCTGTCACTCTCCGTGATCTCGCTTATGTTTCTTACCTCTGCCGAGGCAGCTGCGGGATTGCATAATCTTGTCTGGCCGAAAACGACAGGCTCAAAACCAAAGGCCTGGAAAAACACTTCGTTGTGCATGGTCTTCTCGCAGCCTGGACCCTTGAACATAAGTAGATATGCTCCATAAGCAGGTCATGTGCCCACGAACAAACCATACCATTGTTCCTAAACAGGGAAGGTACCACCTCGGGTGATTCTCCAGGGGGCCTTCCGGGCAATGCATTTGATTAGGGCATTCGGGAATGAATCTCAGGGATCTTGTTCTGGCGCCATCGTCCGTCTTTGGGCAAGTTGACGGATTGCCGCACGGCGAGGCCTGAACGTCCTGTCCGATTTAGGGCTGCATCTCCAACCCCGTAGCTAGGCCGGCTCCGCACAACGCATCCCACACCAACATCCGTAAAGCCACATGATATCCCTCAGTACCATGTCCAAGATTTGCGAGCATTTTCCCGCAGAGGTTGGCAATCCTCAGCCTTAGGCTAGAGGCTGGACGTTCTTAAGGTGACTTGAGCGCACATGGCCCTGGTCGACAGGCACAGGGTCGACTTCTCAGGCTCCAGGACATCAAACGACGTCAAGAAGACGTGCTGTTTGAGCAGCTGCTTGGGCAGTAGCTCGGCAAACCGTCTGGCAAAGGTGACGCTCGTCCATCCCGGCAGCCACACTGGACTGGGCACATGGAGGCCAAAGGGCGGAACAGCTGCGGCTGGCCATCGCACCAGGAAACACCTGTCAAGATCTCAGAAGGCAGTGTCTGCAGGACGGCGCACCCATGGGCCAAGAAATCCTGGGCCATGGAACTTATGAGTCCGAAAAACTGGGTACCAGTGACTCCCTCTCCATAGTGTCCGATAATAGCGCCTTCGTACTCATGCCAGAAGGCTTGCCAACCAGCATCGTTGATCACATCATCATCGCAGGGCAGGGAATGAAGCTTGGCCCGTGCTTCGGCCAGGCACGTGCCGGAACATCCCATAGGTGTCACCTTGTGCCTTGCTTGGTTCACAGTGGCACACAAGCTCTACATTCTGAATTCTATGCGGCCTTAAAGATATTCTGAAACTGTCAGGTGCATCCGAAATCACTCAAGGTACCATGCAGAGCTTACAGGGTCGGTGCAGCCACAGGTTTGGCCGCAGGTCACACGCAGCAGTCGGGCATCTGGCAAACTGCAAAGATCAGCAAGCTCGGCGCATGTCGTGGCATACGGTCGTCCCAGAGCTGAAGCAGCGTTACGAAAGAAAAGTTCGACGATTGGCTGCAAGGCGGGATCTTGATGCAGCTGTCCAGTTTCCACGAGGACAGTCGTCTCCATGCAGAACGGGAACTGCTCGCCAAGGTTGGTGACCGTGCGAGCAAGGTCTGTGTTGAAAGTTCGCCTGTTGTCCGAGAAATAGATTGTCCGAGGCCAGTCATCTTGCAGACTCGAAGGAGTGCCCTTGTAAGCCATTACGGCTCGTTCGACGGGCGAAAGCTCATAAGAGGCTCGCACTGTAGCAATGTCCTCATGAAAACTGATCGGGAAGGGTGAAGCGAGGCTGCAGAATCCAAACCCCAGATGGAACCCCAGGGGCAGGCGGATATCTGCTTCTGGACCCCTTAACAGGAGCACGTGAACACCCAGGGTCCTCTGTATCCATGCCCCATGAAACTTGCGTCTCCGTGTTGTACGCGACCACGAAGTTTCTCTGGCCATCGCACAGCTCGCGTTTGACTGTCATCATGGTTTCACAGAGAGGCACGAGCAGGAACAGATACGAAGCCAGGACCGTTGCTAGCACCGCGAGGAAATGCACCATGGACTCCACCTGGCTGCGCCGGTGCGAGTACTTGACGCTGATGGGCTCGACACTTCGCACCGCGTGCTGGAGCTTGATAGGTGTCATGCCCTCGAAGAGGAACTCATCCACATCCAAGATGGCGTTCAAAGCAACCGAGTTAAGCATCAGCTCCTCAATGGATGTTGTCCTTGCCAGCCATAGGATTCCGGCAACCAGCAGCACGGAGGCGATGCCTGCTCGGATGATGTACGTGATCAGCAGCGCCAGAGCACGACCCCAGGACAGGCAGTGAATCGTGTTGTCGCGGAAGTCCGTCGCGCTGGCCTCCACCGAACAACCAGTGGCTAGCAAGGTCTTGGTTACAGATTCACCATGTGAGCACTACATCCCAAGTCCGCTTCTTCTGGAAACAACACTCGGTGTGCGAGGTGCAAAACAACCGATGGTCAAACAAGTGCAGTGCACGGGACAACTTATAAACCAAGTGATCGACAAAAGAACTGGCCTTTGGAATTGTAGCGGCCGCCTCCAACGCATGCCAAATCTTTCGGAATTCCTGCCATCGACTGTAACTGCAAGTCGGACTGCATCGGAATAATGAAAACCGCCTGTAATTCGAAGTTTAGTCACAAATTCGTGCATCTGCGACGGGAACTCTATGCGATCTGACACAAACGCCTCACTCGGATGCGCAACCCGGTGTCCTTGTAGACACACAAGCTCCACAGCAAGATGCACAACATGCACAGGAGAGTGCCCGGTTGCCAGAAGTTGAAGTCAAATTCAGTCGCTTGCAAGCCCAGGAAGTCGTTAATTTGCTCGATTAGCGTGGCCTGGACCGTGGACAGGATTAAGGACCCATCGCCAGCACACACTCGAGAAACAAGGCTCGTTCCAGCCAAGTCCAGGTAACGAGAGTCATGAGCTATGCTTGTCCGCCACGTCTTGGCACTCTGCAAGTTCGTCTCGAAAGGCTCACCCATGAAGTACTCCGACAACAGAATCTGCGAAAACGACCCCTGCATCAGCAGGTTTAGCAGCACCAGCAGCACTGCAAAGACGTTGTCAAACCAACCCACATCTGCAAGACCGAGGACCAAAGGGATGTTCCACGCACTCTCCTCAAAATGCACAGGCGTAGATCTGTCTTCCGTCTTCACCGTCTCGACCCTTTCAGCACTGCTGTTCGGAGATCTGCTTTGGAAGTTCGGACTGGGCATCTCCGAAACGCCGAGCTGCTTTTCGACATTCCCCAACCGAGCCGTGATGCTTTGAATCTCTGCTTCGAACTGCTGACGGAGTCTCTGCAGCCCTTCTTCCACCTCTTGAACGTGGCCTCCGGGCACCTCGATGGCAATGCTCCGGAACTCGGATGCCTCCAGGTTCGACTCCTCTTCCGGGTCCCCTGCCAAATGTTTGCCGCTGGCGGAGCCTGGGATGGAAGGGGCCGGCATCGCAGCTGCCGGCCGAAATTTGCCTGGCGTGCCTGCACCCCCGGCAGCGTCTGCTTGAGCAAAATGGCTGCCTGCGTGTCTGCTTAAACACGCTCGTTTGCATACCAAGCAATTCACAACTTGAATCGGGCAGTGGCAGTGCTCAAAGCTACGATGCCGGAATTCTTCAGCTTGGCTCCAGACGCTGCTAGGTTGGTTTTGGTGACACAAAGCATCCAAGCTGCTAAACCGTGCATGCTAAACCCAAGTTGTGACCAGGAGTTCAAGTCGAAATATCTCCAGAGGACCCTCGAGCAAGCTTCGGAGGCTTGCAGAATCCCCGGCGGAGTGAATCGAAACTACCGGGCCAGCAAAGCCAGCTTTTTGTTCTTCAGCGCAAGGCTTGCATCTCTCGAGGTGGTCGCCGGCCTGCAGCGCAGATCACCACACTACCACCGTCACCACCACCACTGCTCCTTTGAGCATCTGCTAGCTAACGACCACTTGAACCACAGCACACCTTTCGTATGAATGCCCTCGAACGCGCGCCTCAGCTGGAGCTGGCTGGGTCGTCCTGTGGAGCACAAGTTGTGCAGCACAAGAAGTTTGAGATTACGTCGGGCTTAGAAGATCTGAGAGTACGTAGGGCTTAGAAGATCTGAAGATTTCGGCCTTGTTTCAGGGGTTTTGGGGCCTGTCACGGGGTTTAGGAGCTTCGGTGCCCATGTCATGTCTGAGCACGCAGACCTGTGGACGACCTAGAAGATCTAGAAGGTCCAGCCTCTCAACCTTTGTTTTTCTTTAGGAAACTCGCGTCACATCGAGGGCCGACTGGAAGGGATGCAAGGGTGCGTTGTGTCTGAACTCTCCAATGTACTTTGATTTGGTTGTACTTTGATTTGATTCTGCGCGGCATGCAGTTTGTTTCGAGCTGCTCGGGTTTCTTCCAGGTGCCGCAATAGCCCCTTCTTTGCCCGCATCTTGCCCTCCCGCGTTCTTTGCCGCCAGCTCATACGCGCGACGAACGGCGATCAAAGAAGGTCATGTGCTGCAGCTCCCATCTGTGCTCTGCAGCCGTTCCTTCTCGTCCTTCTTCATGAAGCCGTCCAGGTGTCCGGACATTCGGCCCTGGCTTGGACTGGGATTGGCATCGATCTTTGACATGCTAAACACACAGAGGACGCAAACGAGCAGTTGGTGTTGCAGGCGAAGATGGAAAAGCTCAGGAACTTACAATCGTCGTCGCTAGGAGCAGTAGTACTAGTAGCAGTAGTAG